CTTTGATTTGATGACTCTTTAACTAGATAAGAGTCATTATGAGCAGAGATATTGTGAGTAAAATCCTCAGCAACAATCAGGCGAGAGTCTTCATTTTGTGCCTTCTTTGGCATGTAAGTCTTTCTCAATTGTGAGATCCTCTTATACTTGCAAGACAATGAAGATCTTGAAGAGGATGATGAGAGATATTCCTCAAACTTGGTTTGGTTGAATTCATATTCGACCATGGATTCAACCGGGATCTTGATGATTGGCTGCGACACGACGGTCTCGGCAGCGAGACCGTTGGCTCCCACTGTGGTCGCCAGCTTGTTTGCGTCAAAAGTTAACTTTGTCATGGAATTCATTATATCTTCAGTCGATTACAATAAATTCAAAAGAAATAGCCTTTTTATAAGACTTCTTTTACACAACAAAAGAAAAATTACAACTTTTTAGAAACAAACGCAGGATCGTTGTTTGGATCGCTGCTTGCGTGGGATCTTTGCCTGTGCCGGGGGTGCGTTAGCCCGTGGACCACCAAATCACAGATTCTGATCGAATCATGAGGGGTTTATGATTCTGACTTCGTTTATCGAAGTGAGAAATTGAAACGATATCTTATCGATGTAAGATAGTCGTTCTTCTTGAAATCAAGTCAAAGCCTGAATATCAAGGAGTTGCCAGAAGCTCAAGAACTCTGCTCTCTCTCTGCTCTGGAATGCTCTGAAGTGCTCAAAAATGATCAGCCCCTTGGAAAAATGGCCTTAGGAGGGTATTTATAACCTCCAAGAACAGTTGGTAGAAAACAGGTTCGCGAGACAGTGTTTGCTGTCTCGCTGGGCGAGACAGTGTTTGCTGTCTCGCTGGGCGAGACAGTGTTTGCTGTCTCGACCCAGACAGAGAATGCTGTCTCGCGGGCGAGACAGAGAATGTTGTCTCGCCTGGCGAGACAGTAAAGACTGTCTCGCATGCGAGACATCCCAAACTTGTGTTCTTCTGCTTTTTTGGATGATTTCCTCTTGAGCTGTATTTGGATATCTTTCAGCAATTTTTGACGCCTACACACACCAATCATATCGTATTTAAACTCTTGTTCCAAACAAGATCTAATTACTCCACAAGCGTTTTGGTTCATCTTGTCCCATACCGTCTCATCATACTTTGGTGGCCTCTCATGGACCATGATAGTCTTTTCCAAACTTTAAGCATTCAAAGCATCTTGTACATCGCTCATCCACAAACCAAAGTTAATTTTGCCATCGTACTTCACAACACTAATCTTTGTATTCTGAAGTACAACCTGAACTGTACTCATCATCACCTTACTGCTTTCACTAACTTCTTCTCCCATTCCCATTGCAAACTAACTCCAATTGTATAGAAAGATTCGAACTTGATAGAATTGAGAAATTACCCAACTAAACCCTAGATAGGGTTCCAACATGATCTCCCAACCACACGAGGAAAGCGAGATCTCTAATGGCAACTCCGCAACGCTATCTCCACCGAAGCCTAGATCTTCAAGACCCAAGCTTCCAACAGCGAATCTTTCTCCACCTTATGCAAAACCCTAAATCTAAAAATCTGAGCTCTGATACCACTTGTTGCGCGTCATGCGGAAGCGTGCTCGCAAACCAACTGAGTCGGTGAGCGATGAGATAAGAATCAAACATGAGTGCAATTCACAAAAATTAACAGCCAAAATCACACAAACACAGTGATTTGCGTGGTTTGACAAATTGCCTACGTCCACAGAGAGAGCATGGTGATATTTCACTATATGGATGAGAAACAACGGGTTACAATTTCTCAAATAACTCTTAAAATTAACCCTAACCAAAGATCTCAACTCCCTCACAGTATCTCCCTTTTAAAGTGCTCAAAAGTCTCACAATTCTCTGGTAAAAAAACCCTAGAAACACGTGTTTCTATTTATATCAAAACCCAATCCAAAACAGGCTGGGAAACAACTTTCAGCCCGTATCCGCTTTTGGTCAACCGAACGGGTGCTACCGATCAACCGGCCAGAAGCAAGTTTTCAGAACCCTGTAAATTCACGTTATTAGTCGACTGGTCTTGGTCCACCAGTCGACTGACCAGAGCCAACCCTGTATATTAGCTCATGACGATTGCATCGGTCGACCGACCAAGCTCATTCGGTCGACCAATGAAGCTGCTTCCTGCGCACGTCTTGTTTTCTTCGCCATTTTCACATGACAAACAAATGGAAAAAGATTTGAGGGGGAAATGATCAAATATTTGAGGAGCAATTTGTAAATATGAAATGTTGATGGGTATAAATGCAAAATGCACGTTCATAAATTCCCTGTTTAGGCGAGAATATTTATCTCGCTTTCGCTTTTGGATCGTACTACTTCCAAAATGATATACACATCTCTACATAGCGCGCGAGGGAGAGCGAGAGCGAGAGAGGCTACGAATTCTACGTATCCACTTTACCTTTACTAGCTTCCATAAATTCAAAGTCAGAATACGTACACGCGAAAAAGATTGCAAAATATCATAGGCCACCGGTTTAAGCTTTTGTCAGAATCTCTGAATGGGAAATGTGAGAATATATGGGTTTTGTTTGGGGTGTTTGTTGAGAGGGAAAGTAAAATGAGATTCTTTTCTTAATTTTTTTTATTCTTCTAGCTAGGGAAAAAAGAATGGAAGTTGATATTCGCAGCTTTATCAATACCTACCCCCTCAAACTCGACATGCAGTGAAATGACAAATCAAAACATGCCACCGAGCGTCTCCCAACCATCACCAAATAAAAAATGCAGTGGATTTTTGTCATAAAAAGATTTCCACACGACGGAGAAAGTAACATGCTTTCAAAATATAACTTGTCATGGAGAAAATCCTTCTCAATTATGTCGGTAGAACAGTTTGACCGGACTAGGGCTGTCTTTAAATGTGAGTTAGAAATAAATGAAATGCATGAATTGAAGGTAGTATATTTAGAAGGACTCGTAATAATTCGGAAAGTCTATTTTTCTTTAGCGGGGGCGCATGCATGGGCGCTTGTTGTGAAGGATAGAGATAAAGAAAAATAAATAGTAAATACATCCCCTTGATCTGCACTAATTTCTCTCCTCCATGTTTCTCGTCTCCTAGCGAGTGCTCGATCATGAACACCCGTTAGAGGAACCCTTCAAAAACTTCTTTTCAAGCGGATATGATTAATTCAAGATCACCATTAATTAGACGTATTTCAAACTTTTTTAAACCTGCTTTTACATTTTGCAGACACCAGTTCTTTGCTAATCAGGAGCCAGGCTTACGTATTTATTTATTTATTATGTTGAAAGTCACATGTTTTTATTACGTGTAATAATCATGAACTAGAGAAACTTTAATTGAGAGATGATATAGTATTATGTGGGTTAGATGTGTGTCCATGTCAACTTGACAAGGCCATGAAAGTATTAATTAATGCATATGAGAATATAAATCCTCACTATGTCTCGTAGGGAGAAACCAATGAAGAACCAAGGTCCACACATATTTTTGGGGAAAAGGTGATTATGAACCAAGTTTAATAGTTCAATCATTAATTTTCATTTTTCTTTTCGCAGCTCTGTAATTAATTTATACATTAATGCATCTTATAAAAATAGGAGGCCTTAGTCTTTTATTATTTAAAAACATGAACATAAATAACTGATCGAACGAGGGATGCCCTTTTATTTAATTTTAATTTGCTAGTCAATTAATGCAGCTATTTTCTTTACAAAGAAAAAGTGGACATCACCAAGATACAGCCAAAAATGCATCCCTTTTTCACCTTGATCACTCGACTGTCAGCTGATGTGTCCTCTTATTCATAAATATTTATTTACTTTGAATAAGATGTTTGAGTAATTATCTCAGCCTGAGTTGCAAAATTTTAGAACAAGTAAATGGGAATATTGTTTATCTTGAGATATAACCTTAAAACAACTTAGCATTATGCTCTAAAATATATTGATTGTTTTAAAAGAACAAAAAATGACTTTGATATCTTCACGTCGTGTACTTCCTCCACTCATTTTGGGATTTTCTTTTAACCAATAAAATAACACAGCCTATTATTTAGCTACTATGATGTTGTGATCATGTTATATAATAAGTTGAAAATGAGATTAAGAGGGATCTAGTAAATGTTAATATTGACATGAATCACAATAATTCTTCAGTAAATAATAGAATGTTTGTGATAAGTAAGTTGAAGGATTCAAATACTTTTCGAAAGCAAATTAAAGATTTTGATTTGGTATTATATATGTCCAGGCCGTCCAGAGTTAGTTTTGAAAAAGGTTTTGAAGATATTGAACTGTTAAACCTTTAATACCTTAAACTAGTCCCGCCAAATCACTGAAATTGCTATTAATTAAGTTCCTAAAATTTTGCCAAATTAATCTCCTTGTCAGTTATTCTATCTAAATTGCTTAGGTTTGATTATTAGTACACATTTCTACCTTTATTGTTCCGTTCTCCCTCTCCTAAACCTTAATAAGTTTTAGGAAAATTGGTTTGCAAATCGAGGTTAGACGAGTTGAGGAACTCAAAACGATCTGCTTGGACTTTAGGCCGGTAACTTAAACATGGCAGCTAGTATATAACTGAAAACATTGTGAAGAAAAGTAAATTGAAATATATAATTAACTTTCCATACCAAACGGCCTACAGCTGACTAATTGTTTGAAATAACCAATTTCTAGATATTAAAGAAGCAAGGGACCATAATAAGAAAGTTTTGGAGTCATGGAACATTAAGATTTGTGATTTGATCACCAGAACAGTAACAATATATATATATATCCTGCCTCCACAACGTAAGAGATGAGGAGGAAGAAACAGTGAAGGTTTCTCTCTGATCCATCCTCTGTTATGTATTGTACACGTATCACATCAACCCCTCTGACAAGGGATACATGCAAAAAGCCAAGAAAGTAGATTCAATGAGATTATAACTAAGTTCAAACCCTAATTCTACTCTCTCTCTCTCTCTCTCTCTCTCTCTCTCTCAAAGAAAAGAGGAAGAACGCCACCCCTTGATATATGCATCTCACCACTCCCCACTCTCTCTCCAACAAACAACAACAATATAGAAATACTAATTATAACCCCCCCATCTCTCTTTCATTGCCTTTTAAATCCCCACACCCCCTCTCAAAACTCCCACACACTCACAAAAACATCAAAAAAGAAAAAGGAAGAAGGAAGAAGGAAAAAAAAAGTGATGAGAACCCAAAACCCCACTTCCCTTTTTCACTCACTTCTCAAATCCATGTTAGAATAACATTTAAAAAAAAAAATACCCCCCACCCATCAGAAAATGATGAACAGATTACACTCATCATCATCTTCAGCCTCGGACCCTTACTACCCCTTCAATGGCCTTGACAACAACTGGGACGTCACCCAATCCAATTACACCCACCAAGGCTTTGATCCCCCTTTACCACCAATCCCCATGAGCACCAGCTTCCCTTTCTACTCTCCTCAAATTGGTTTCGTGAAGAGAGAAGATGCTTTTGGAGTGGGAGCTGGCAGCAGGCCCATCGGGCTTAATTTGGGCCACAGGACCTACTTCTCCTCTTGTGATGCGTTGGCCATTGACAGGCTGCTGATGGGCCGGCTCCATAACCAGCATCAGCCCAGGTGCCAGGCCGAAGGGTGCAAGGCTGATCTCTCCGGAGCTAAGCATTATCACCGGAGGCATAAGGTTTGTGAGTTTCATTCAAAGGCCACTGTGGTTATTGCTGGAGGGACTCAGCAGAGGTTTTGCCAGCAATGCAGCAGGTGAGATTGATTCTAGGGGGGGTAAAAAGATCTGATTTTTATATGTTTGGCTTTAGAATGCATGCATGCAGTGTTTTTTGTATGAGGGATCTAACTGTAGAACATATAAATCTAAGTTAATTTTATGTTTGTAAGGGCGCAAGGGTAGTATGATTAAGACAATTTATGATTGATTGATTTTGTAGGGGTTGTGTATTAATGTTTCTTGAGATTAAGTTTAGGTTTAGTAAATGATGAGAGATTTGGAGTTCATTTCTTGTTTTTGTTTGCCAGCTCTTTTTTTGCATAAAATCATGCCCTTTGTTTACATAAAGTTTGTTCCTTACTTGGACATTGACTTTGTGAAAGTTTTTTCCTTTCTTATAGGCGCTTGATTTGAGAAGTTGGCACTTGGAATTGTATGTCTAAAATAAATAAAAAACAATTCTTCTGATTTAAATTTGAAACTTATTTTTTTTTTTGGTCCTCTATATATTATGGGACTTCAGCATAACTCAGCATCTAATTAGGGATTAGGGTCTAGCAAGTAATGTTTCCAGAAGTTGGTAACAGGATTAGGTTTTGGATTTCCACTAAATATAGGATTTCTTCACTCTAGAAAAGAGAAATTAAGAGACTACTGGATTGATCACTTTGTGTTAATTCTTTTGTACTTTCATGTGAGTACTTCATCTAATTTCTAGCGCAACTCAGGATATGTGAAGAATATATACCCATGAGAGAGTGAGAGCTACTACAAGGTACCTACTTTCTTTCTTCTCTAGGGTTATCCGAGAGGAGTAGTACCTATTTTCTCATGAAGTTAAACCCTTTTCAGCTCTGTTGCTTATACTAAAAAAATTTGTTGCATATATAGAAACAAAAGGATCATTCTTCCCTCAAATGGGCCTCCCTCTGTTTTCCTTTCTCGAGGTCGCTTCTTTTTTTGACAATGTTATGTGATCCTGATTGAAGATCGCCCCTCACTTTATTTGGTAAACAAAAAAGAAAATGTAGCTAGGCTGCTTTTTTGATTCCAGACTTTCTTTATTAGTAAACAAAAGGGAAGGCTGGCTCCTTTGTTTTCCTTTAGTTTCTCTTCTCAATCACAAATTAATTTTCATGAGTGCTTTAATTTTCCCTTCTTAATTTTGTGTGTGGGTGTGTGTATTTGGTGGCTGGTTAGGTTTCATGTGCTGGCTGAGTTTGATGAGTCTAAAAGGAGCTGCAGAAAAAGGCTAGCTGATCATAACCGCAGGAGGAGGAAACCCCAGAACAACAACAACAGCAGCAACAACAACAACAACAGTGCTTCTTCTTCAACAACTACCAACTCCTCTGACAAGACAAAACACAATGCTCCTAGGCCTTTAAGAGATTCTAATGGTGAGCACTCTCTCTTTTGAACTCTCGTATGTTATGTTCACGATTTTTGAATATTGCACATAGAATCACTATTTTCTTAGACGTATTAATTGAATATATCCACCCTCTATAATTCATGTCTTTTAGTAGCTTATAATTTTGTTATGGCTCACACCTAGCTACAAGTATCTTGAATTTTACATTTCCGTATATATCTTAGCATAAAAGTTATAATAAGCTCAAGATTTGGAGTAAAAAAGGTTCGATAACAAGTGACAACATTTTAGAAAGCCAAGGTTCAAGTATAATCATTGGCAATTTCAAATAATTCATGTTAATACTAATTGACTTCTTCTGTGTGCTTCAAAAGCCCAGACCAAAAAAAAAGTATTTTTTCACAGCAAAAATTGGTGTAATTTTGCTCAACAATACACAATTCTGCTTAATTAAAACCATTTTAATTAAGCAGCAAGCAAATGTACAACCGCATCAACTACTACCGGTAGTGGAGCCTTGGAGGTTAACCAAGGGGAGCAAAATGAGGGAAGCTTATACAGGAAAGGGCCAGCTCTGTCACTTGGAGGAGCTCAACAGCTCCTACACAACAATTATCAGCATCATTTCTCTCCTTCAACTACTTCAGACAGCATCACCAGCAGCTTCTATCATCAGAGCCTCTTCGGCCCAAGCCCACATGAGCCATCTCAACCCGGTGGGTCAGGGTCTGACCAGCACCAGACCAACCTCCTCCATCTGGGTCAAGCCATGTTCGAGGTTGACTTCATGTAGCACCGTAGGGAGATCGAGAGTTGATGTGATCTCAAAAGAAACTGGTGCATGTATTAACTTGTATGCTATATCTTCCTCCTTTAAGCGGGAATGACCTTTGTTTCCTTTTGTTGTGAAAGTGAGGTACTTTTTTACTTACTCCCATGATTTTGTGTGTGCTTTTGCCTCTCTAAATTCCCATGACCATGATCATATCCTCCTCTTTGTTCTCGCTTCCCAACCTCGTAATAAATGAATAGAAAATGAGGCCAAAATTAAAGGAGACCCTAGATAGAACTTTTCATAATTAAATATGCAGCACACTACTGTTACATATAAACTATAATAATGATAATAATAATAATAATAATATGGGTCTTTGAATGGTATGAAGGTAGAGTGATGATTTTAGTACGGAGTTCAGAGTGATATGAGGTTGATGTTGGTCCAACGATTCTGACAGCAACCACTCTGAATCTTGGTAGGGTGCCCTTTTTCTAGGGTTTCAGAGACCTATTGAAACTCTTGTTTGCAAGGTGATAACCATAACATAATGTGGAGCCCATATAGCATAAAGAAGCACAACAACTATACATTATAGAGGGGGGCCATTATGTCTTCAAATATTGAATATTATACTAGCTTTCCTCCATTGGTAAATAAAATAGTATGGAGAACCTAGGAGACCTTTATATCAATATACAATCGCTATCAGTACATACTCACGAGTCATGTCTATCAATGTTATCGCAAATGCTTCGACAAACAATACTAACATACACCGATTCGTTAATGACGCTACATCAAGATTCATGATATGTTTGACAAAGAGGGTCCTCTGTAATACACCTCCTTCTTCTATATAATACTTTGGAGAGGGTCCTAGACTCCTATGTAAATGTAATACCTTTTCACTCTCCATTGACTTTTCTAAGCAATTAATGTTTGACAAACTTAAAAATCTTTAAAAAAAAAAAAGCACAATGCATGCTTAAATTGTACTTGGCACAAAGCTCTACTGAACTTTCAAATTTTCCTAATGGACCCTCCAAACGGTGTTAGTGGCATCATGGGTGTTGATGCTAAATATCACACAGCCAATTAAAATCACGGAGTTTATAAAAGAAAAGGGGGGCCTCTTTCTTCATGAGTCGTAAGAGGGCGGGGATGAGTTCCCCCGTAATACCTCCGACGATCAAGTCAGTTGATGAACTTGAGTGGGGTCAAAGAAGAACTGTGTGTTCTTGTTTTTGTGCAGTGTGTGCTTTAATGGGTTTTAGATTGCAAAAACTTTGGCTATGACGAATAGCATCTGTACTTATAGAGCATGCTAAGGGCAGATTGGTCACTTCATGAGTGTACAGCAAGACGGTGGTGAGGGGTGAGCTAGAAGTTGAGTCATCCTTTGCTCTACACGTGTTGGTTAGTGAGTGACGGGAGGTCACTTCAGCAACATTGGGAACCAGCAGCCCGACAAGTCTTCAAGACTGTTGAGGATGGAGACATAATGATGATCATCAAAGATTAAATAATATTGAGAAGTGTCACCTATGCCGATAGGTTCGAGGCGAGGATAATCTCTTAGCTTCGTCGAGAAGTAATACCTATAATGTCATATCTTCAAGTTGCTGACTCTCATGTCCACTGACACCGCCTTTCGTATCGACACAAGAGTGTCGGCTTGTCCGACTGATCGGAATGTCGTCTTGTCCCAGCTAACAACCGTCTCTCGAGTCGATATAGAGAACAGGTATACCCCATAACAATGGGCCATTTATTTTGATTGTGCAGCTTGTTGATTCATTAACATTGTTAAGAAGTTGTAGGGGATTTTGTGAAATTTACCAAAAATTTTAAATTGAAATGTCTAGAAGGTTTAAAAAAATTAAAGTTTATGTTTCTTCTGTTGTACCTAAAATAAATAGATACTAATTAGTGAAAATAATTGTGAAAATAATGATCTGGCTAACATAGAATTGTGTATTAAGGGTGTGTTTGGCAATTTAATAAAATTGGGCAAGGTTTGAGTCTAATCTTGTGATAGCGTGTTTTCTGATTAGTGAAAGCGATGTTAGAAATGATCTGGTTTATTTTAGGTTAATTTTGGGAGTTAGCTAGTTTAATTGTGAACTAGAGGGAGTTGGTCCACATCTGAACTAGTTCTCACCAAAACCAATTTCAAAACCCAGTCTGACCCATTTTTACTAGTCGCCATACACGCCTTTAGGAGGATTTTGCATACTTTATTGCAAAGACTGTTTTCGAGCTAACATAGGATTTGTACTCAGAATGAAAAGTGATGGTTAGTGTTTAAATATATTTTTGGCTAAATATATACACCGCCCCCCCGCCCCCCAAACCCGGCCATCAAACACTTCATCCCCTACCCACCAATCCAAAAAACCAAGCTTTCAAAATGTCAGAAACCTCTGTTAATGTATGTTGTCTAAAAATTATTGCAGATAGCTGATCCCCATCAAATATCGATGATGAAAGTTATAATTTGATGGCTTCCAGAAGGCTACAATTTAAAAACTTTACGTAGATCGATGAATGTTATAATCTGACAACATTCATAACAGTCGATGAAATCTCTAATTCAACAGCCTTCACAATCAACATCGAGAGTTATAATCTGACGACTCTCATATTTTTAAGGAGCCAATACGAATGTTACAAGATGATGATCTTTGCAACGCTCTAGCAAAAGAGACTACAAATTGACGGTCTCTTTAAATTAAAACGCAAGTGGCCTCATTTCAGAGTCAAAGTAATATAAATACAGCTCAAACCTGGCCACAAACGCAGTTTACATTTAGCTCCAAACGTTATAAACGCAGCTCAGATCCAACTGTCAACGCAGCTCATGTTCGATTGTAAAGGTAGCCTCAGAACGCTACAGACGCGACTCAGATTTAGCTGCTAACGCAGCTTCCAAGCGCTGTCAAACGCAGATTCTAAGCTGCCAACGTAGCTTCCAAACCGTTGCAAACGCAGCTTCCAGACGCTACGTCTAAGCTTCCAGACACTGCGTTCGAGTTTCCAAATATTGCGTTTGAACACAGAATTCATGCCAGAACGCAATTCTTGTGTTTGACTCGTTCAAACACGAGCTGAACGATTTTAAAACTATTTCCACACGAGCTGAACGATTTTAAAACTATTTCTCATGATCTGAGGGGATCACAACTCCACTCAGGAGTGATTTAAGGGGCGGTTACATCCCATAAGCCCCACAAAGGAGTGATTTTAGGGGCGGTTACACCCTCTAATCGCCTATAAATAGCTGAAAGATCAGCTTAGTTCGGATTTTTAGATCTTTGAGCATTTTCAGATCTAGAGATCAGCAAAGAGCTTGGAGCGTTCTTCAGCAACCGAGATCAATGAGCTTTGGTACTTGACTTATTAATCGAATTTTAGTTCAAATCAACTCTGGTACAGAGTTTAAACTCGAACAGAGTTTAAACTCGAACAGAGTTCTTAAACTCGTTAAGAGTTATTTTTAAACTTGCCACGTAAGTTTTATTAACTCTAATCCAACGAGGTAAAACATCAGATCATCAACGAGAAGCAAACTCGACACTAACATCGAGGGAGGTAACTCCTCGCCACCGTGAAGAACCCAGTTTTAAATAAAGGGGAGGATCTTCATCGATCTTTTTCTCTTTTGTAAATCGGAAAACCAATTGAGGGAATTGTAATTTTTTTCTAAGTTTGTCAGAGAGAGATTGCAAAGAGAGAATTATAATTAATTTTTTTCTGAGTTTGTCAGAGAGAATAATACAAATTTGTTTTCTCATTTTCTTCTTTCAAACTTTCCCACCAAATAAAAGATGGCGACTCTGCTGGGGATGAGCTTTTTTATCAAGGAAGAAGTGGTGGTGTAATCCGACATCAAGCTTGCTAGAACGATCGTTGAAACTCTGATCATCGAGTTCGATCAAGCCAAGTATGAGGAGGTACTCTCCTCCGAATCCCTTAATCCTATGGTTATGCGTAAGATCCGCAAAGTCTTTAAGAAGACTAAAGCTCTAGTTATGGACGACTCATCAAAGAACTATCTCCCCTAGGGGTTGCACTGTTCATATAGTCCCCTCTCTGAAGGAGAAGACTTAGCTTTGGCCAAACTTGTCCACCGAGTTAAAGGTTCTATACCCGTGCCAAAGTGACAGGTATCGGGTCATAAAAGGCCCATCGTAGCAACCAACTCTGTCAATGCCGACGACATCCCTGAAAGGGCCTTAAAACAGGCCAAGAAGAACGCCGCTCGACAAAGGAGAAGATCCCGACGACTGGCACAACTCCGAGAAAGCCGATCTTTTGATCAACGTGAGCTTCTCGTTTGTGAGATAAAACGTAACTCTGAGCTCTGCGTTTCTACTATAAAATGTGAGGCATGCGTTTATGAGTCCAAACAAGAGCTTCACATGAACCAAATTAAACGCAGCTTTCAAGAGCATGTTATTCAAACAAAATGCAGCTCTAAGGAGTGCGTTATTCAAGTAGAACACAGCACATAGGGGCGCGTTATTCAGCCAAAACGTAGCTCTCAGCAGTGCATTCCAGAACCAAAATGTAACTCTTAGGAGTGTGTTCCACAAACTGAACACAACTCTCAGGAGTGTGTTCCAGAACTAAAACGCAACTCTCAGGAGTGCGTTCTACAAACTGAACGCAACTCTCAGCACGCGTTTCAGAACCAAAACGCGGACTTTAAGACTGTGTTTCACCAGCAAAAAGCAGATTTTAAGACTGAATTCCACTAGCAAAATGTAGATCTCAGGACTGCGTTTCACCAGTAAAACTTGAACCTCAGACATGCGTTCGGTTAACAAAATCCAATATAGAACCTCGAGTATATCGTAGAGTTCGAGGTGCTACCTCGAACCCTACCGGGGGGTTGTCCACCCCCCTGGGACCCCTCGGCTAGGGGCGTGCCGCCCCCTAGACCCCCGACTCACTGATCGGGTAGCGAGACCCCTGAATACTCTGTGTAGCGTGACTAGATTGAGGGGCGGATATAAGAAGTCCATGGATTCAAGGCATCTCAACCAGATTCATGTTCACCAAGAGCCAATCCTATCCAATCATAGGCAAGGGGTCCTAATTCAAACCTCACGATCAGTGAGTAATTCTTCTTGAGTCTTTGCAACAGATTTGAGAGTGTTCATATCG